GGACAGATATATTAACTTTATGTAAATACCACTCATAAATAAAATAATACCATATTTCATTTAACTACTGATATTTATCATGATTTAATGATGTATATGAACTAAAGAATATAGGGAAAGTCTTGTAACTTTGTAGTTTATAATTATTTTCCTAATATATATATATATATTTACAATAAGTTGGATTATAGCAGATATTCTTATTATTTTATTATTTATTAAATAATATTATATCTATATCACTTACATATAATGTGAATATTTAAATTACTTTTCAATTTTCTATATATGTGATATTTAATATTTATTATCTGATACCCACATATCACTTTTCATGTTAGAAATGATATTAGATTTCAATAAGCATCAAAAATCACGGATTATTTTCAATGCAGAAAGTATTTATAATATAGTATCAATAGAATAGGATGTTTAGGGAATAAACACTTTTGTTCCTTCTATGGGGATACATACAAACGAGGATAAAATTAGAAGATTTAACTATATAAAAATTAAATAAATTTTAACACAGACTCCCTTATATTGTGCAAAGATACTGGTTGAGTAATTAAAGCAACATGTTACATCTATATAACCTTGATATACTTGTTTTTGAACATTTACATATAACCTAAACAATAACATATTACACCATAAACTAGGAACATAATTATATTTTTAGACATAAATAGTTTCAAATTCCCAAATATTGAATTAGGGTTAAAATACAATTTAACATATGAAGTAACCAGTTCTAGTAGATATATCAAGAGTATATTATTGAACATTTATATAAAAAATCTCAATATTACCATATGTTTTCTACCACATATATGAGCATAGTATTTGATTATAGGCATAAAAATATTTTAATATCCTAAACACAGGTTAGGGTCAGATTACAATTATACATATGAAGCAATTAGTGTTAGTAAATATAGTAAGAGTCATACAAGATCATCCATTTAGGCACATATAGCGTCATAAAAAGATAATGTATTTAAAGATATTAAATAGATAGTTATATAAATTTAGGATATGTATATTTTGTAACAAAGATATAAGAATAGTAATAAAGGGGTCCTGTATATATTTTTAAAGTCTATATAGTTTACCATCAATAGATTAACTGCTTTTATAAGGCTATGTATTTAAACCGAGTTAAGCTCACCCCCCCAGAAACAGTCTCTGGCTGTTTGACTGAAGACATTTTAAAGGCTATCTTTTATCAAAAGAAAGTCTTTAATTATGTAAGGGTAACAATGCTAGTACCCAATAAAACAAATTTTGAAATCGCTAGTGCGAAAAATTATCCTTCATAGAGAAACATGACTGCATTCTTTTTAGACACCGCGCTCACATGTGATGTGTAATGGTATAAAGATATTAAAAATTGATCATCGATATGGACAAGTTTATAGTCCAAATAAGATATGGTAGGCAAATTTCCACATTTCACGTTTACGGTCTCTACCTCACAAGTTACATCATAGCCAGTCCACTTGGTAAACGCCGCCATGAAATTATCTATTGATGTCCTAGGAATATATCAAAGTATGTCATCAACATATTTCTACCAGGTTTGCAAGGAATATAAACTGATAATGGATTTCAATTTTCGAATCTAAGTATATTGAAGCAAGCTGTTTAATAATTGAAATGAAAGGGAGATAGTTGCTTACGCTAGAGTATCGATTGAATACTGATTTTATTTTGAAAATTATTCTCTATTTATACAAAATTGTCTTAACATATCTTAACTAAATTTACAAATAAGGTTTGAAATAATTTGTTGCCTGTTATCATTTATTTTAGTGGACTGTATTATTTTTAGTTACATTTTATTGTTGTCGCAAAGGTTCAAAACAAAAAGATACTATTTTTTCTCAGAAGAAAATCCCGGCACTTAGGATTTTCTTTTATTGTCTTTAAATACATTTTTATTATCTTAATTAGATACGGTGTCATGTGTATCATAAAATATTTAAACTACGAGTTTTTACAATATTATGCTATTTTAAATTAGGGTATTTTTCACCCGTTGTTCAGAATTAAAACAACTGAACCGTTTGAGTATTTGTAAATTACTGATTTTATTTAAAACAACGTTCTGTATTTATACAAAAATATCTTAAGATTAATTTTACATCAAGGTTATTGTTTTAATGGACTGTATTACATTTTGTTATTGTTTGTAAAAAAGGTTAAAAAAGGACGGAAGTCCCAACACTAGGGATTTTCCTCCTATTGTTTCTATAAATATATTTATTGTTATAATTAGATACGGATGCTCAAATGTTACAATGCTTGCTATATTAATATAATGTATTTTTACCCTTGTACATTATTCTGGGAATTTAGGTGATAAGGTTTTAAGCGATAATAATAAACTAAAATAATATAATATATAAAATAATTAAATATTTATAAATTTATGTTCATGATTGAACAAAGATAGACACATTAAGTTTTTCAGGGTGCGCCAAAGGGATGCTACATTTGTACTTGGATACATGTCTTTGATATCCATTGACATAAAGACATAACCTGGTAATGGTTGGTGTGAAATCAAATAACCGGTTAGATAACTCATGTTCTTCAAATTATGTTTAGACATACGATCTGATAAAGTTTCTGTCAATACATGCTGCACCAATTGATGAAGAGGATGAATGTACCAATTCAAAGGACTACAGATTGGTCGTAGTGGTTGATCTGGTTTATGTAATTTTAACATACCATACAAATATGGTAAAGTGGGATTGCAATTGGATATCATACGCTGTAAACTCAGTAGAATGGTTTTCGGGAAAGATGTTGGCTCCTTTTCATGCCATTGACAGAGAGGCCTTACTATTCTTCGGAAATGTGCTGTTAGACGATTAAATAGAGCTTGTTGATTCCCTGAGATTAACACATAAGAACCTTTTTCTAATTTTGATCTATCCATATATTCATTTTTCGTATGTAGTCAATTTTTTTCATTAAACATGTAGAATGTCCTTTGTCAGCTTGTACAATTATAAGATCTTTTTGTTTTTTAATATACTCGGATGCATATGCATACATTTGAAATAATATCTGATGAGTTCGATTCGATTTTTGGTATTTTGTCATAATTTCCAAAAACTGGGAAAAATGTTTTTGCATCTCTAAAGGACTTTGATAATCTAAGATTATACATTGTTCTTGATGTATCTCATTATAGCTATTTAAAGCCACAAAATAATCATTAATATTTGGAACCTTTATAGGACTATATTTAGGCCCAAAACTCAACAATATTTGAAGCTCTTTTGGTACTCGTCGACCACTTATATTATGAAATCCACCGGGTATCATTTTTGGATATAATGTTGTATAAAGTATATTTTGTGGCAGCTGAGTACCATAAAAATTACATAGATTTTTTTCTGTTATTTTGACTTTACACAGATCCATTGATACAACAGAAGTTTCATTAGAAGTGACTATAGCAGATGGGACTATGTTAGAAGTGGTTTCTGAAACATTTGGTAATATTGTTATGCTGGATGAATTGTTAATCTGATTGATACCTGCATTTTCTATATAGGAAAGGAAAGTTTTTTCAGATTAATTAATAAAGCCAAAAATGGTATTTAATATGCTATATATAAAGTTATATAGATATTTAATATGCTATAGAGTTATACTGATATTAGAAATATTATAAAGATTAAATTCAATATTATAACATTAGAACAAATTTTATAGCATAAATATTGCATACATAAACTGCTAGAAAAGGTGCAGCTGCGGTTCCATATGTAACTGTTGTTAATCTATATTCCATAATTTTTTCCCTTGCATTTTCTCTCCATAAAATTCTTTGATAATCTTGGTCTTCTCGTGCAATTTTTATTTGCCTGAACATTTTTTCTACATCGGCTGAAGCGACGAATTTCCATAATCGCCATTTCATTAATATATCAAATATATCCTGCTGTAATCTTGGCCCCGTCATCATTATGTCGTTCAAGCTTTTTCCATTTGTCGATTTTGCTGATGCATCGAATACTACTCTTAGTTTTGTAGTGCGACTTGATTCTCTTATCACTGCTTGATGCGGTAGGTAATATTTTCCTATTGTATTATCTTTTACTTTTTCCATATGTCCTTTCTGCTCATATTCTTGCATGAATTTTATGTATTCAGTTCTTTTCTCATTACTCATTTTTTTCTCTTGGTTTAGGAATCTTGCCATTGCTTGATTTCTAGATTCACCTAGTGTGGCATCTTTTTTTAATGGAAGTTTCACTATAAATTTTTTGTCGCCGTCTATTTTAGTGGTGTCATCATAAAATTGCATACATATTTCATCTTCTGCTGTTTTTTCATTGATTGTGTTATTTGCTTCTTCTAGTTCCCAAAACTTTTCTATGTTTTTTGTTGTAATTGTTACTTTACTTCTTTTTGCTGGTTTCTTTAATACTTTGCCTGATATTATCCATCCAAATATTGTTTCTTGGGCGATAATTCCATTAATTTTCTTGAACCCTTTCTTTATTATTTTCGGGATAATGTCACTGCCTATTATTAAGTCGATTTGTTTTGTTTTCATGAATTCAGGATCTGCTAAGTTGTAGCTTTTCCACTGATTCTTATTGTGGTCTATTGTCTTTTCTGGCAATGGTCTAATTAGCTTGTTCATGACTATAAACTCTTCTTTCATATTTATATTATTAATTTTAGATTTTATTTCCATTATGACCTTTGAATTTGCTTGCCCTACTGAAGTTTCAGCAAGCCCAGTTAATTTAATATCGGTTTTTACTTTTTGTAAACCTAAGATATTAACAGCTTCTTCTGATATCACTGATGCTTGGGATCCTTGGTCTATAAGCGCATGTAGTTCTTTATATTCTCCTCTAATTGTGTTCCCTTTAACTATTGCTGTTGGTAGTAATACTACTTCGCTTTCATCTTTTTTTGTTACTGCGATCACCTTAGTTTTTGTTGATTTATCCTTTTTTTCTTGTTGATGCTCATTATGTAGCAAGGTATGATGATCTCTACTATTACATATCTTACATGTGTACTTTGATATGCATTTGTCTTGATTTTTATGGCTCAGGCAAATTTTACACGTGTCGTTAGCGTTTAGAAATGCTCTTTTATTGCTGATAGGCAATGAACTAAATGATGAGCAGCTGTATATTTTGTGCCCCTGTTTCCTACAAAATGAACAGCTAAAGTTTATAGATGTATTTATTTGCTGATTTACTGGTAATCGTCTTTCAATATTTGACATTGCTGAAAATTTTCTGCATTCGTTTGTTGTATGTCCCGCCTTATTACAGTACGCACATATTTTCTTCGGATAATTTATCTTTCTATCGTCTGTTTCTTTATTTTTCATAGCATCTAGCGCTTGAAATTGATGTTCTAAAAATTTTTGTACCTCATCTAAGTTTTGTATTTCAGTTGGATTTTTGGCACCTAACTCGTACATCCTTAAGCTTTCTTTGTCCAGCTTTCTTAATATTATTCGTGCTATTAAAGGTTCTGCATTATTAAGGTCGATACCCATTCCTTTTATTGTATTAATGCATTCGTTTGTTGTGTCTGTTAGCTGCCTTATACTTTTAGCATCCCCTACTGTTGTAGATAATTGGTCGAGTAATTGATCTACCTGTGTTCTAAATAACCACCTTCTGTTATTGTATCTTTTTTGTAGCATTTCCCAGGCTGTTTTATAATTAGCCACAGATACATTCATATGCTGGATTAATCTGCCAGCTTCACCTTTTACTACTGCCTTTAATCTATACATTTTTTCGGAATCTGGTATATCTCTTATATGTATAGCTTCATGAAACAAATTAGAAAATGTGTTCCACTCTTTTACATCTCCGTAGAACGTCGGCATCTTGAATGGTTCTAGCTTTACCGGCTCAAATTCATTTTTTACCACTAGTTCTGCTCTTTTTTTTTTACTTTCATTTAATTGAT